CTATCCGGCGGCGGCCGGGCGTCGGCCCAGCTGAGCTGCGTTTTTGCTCAGCTGATCCACGGAGCTGCCCCGCCAAGCCGCGCCTCCGCTCAGCTGAGCTGTGGTGTCTCTGCTGAGCCTCAGCCTGGGAGCAGCCGGCGCACAGCCGGTATCTGCTCCGCGGCTTCTCGGCGCAGAGCCCCTGTCTCTCAGTGCGGGGCTTTGCTGCCCCGTCACACGGGGACTGGGACAGGTGCTTCAGCGCCAACAGGTGCCCGAGTGCCTGGAACCATGTTAAGTCTCTGTCGACCCTGGTGTGCTCCTAACCAACGGCTCTGACTCCAGTGCTGCAGGGTGAAGCGCCAACTGCATTAAAATCAGCTTAAGACTGGAGTCTCTCTCTTGCTTAGTCCGAAGCTTAAACGACTTACAGATTCTGCACGAATCTGTCAGGTGGCCTTCCTGTAGGCACATGAGGCAATCTTTATGTGGGTCCCTGCACGGCCTGGGCTTGGAGCACCAGCGGCAGGGCTTAAATCTGTAGGGCCCCGGCTTGCTCCCCCGCCCCTCCCGCTAGGGGAGCCGGCCCAGAACAACTAACTAGTTAGAACAAAACACCTAACTATTAACTGTGAACTACTCTATCTACACACTAAAAGAAAAGAAAACTAAGATAAGCTAAGGGAGCACTTGTGATCGTGAGTCCGAGCGTTCCAGCAACCGTCGGGGTGGAAAGAAAGAACTGAAGGGGGACTGGCCCAACAGTGCTGCTAAGGGTAAAAAGCTTCCGGAACTTGTGCACAGGCCGTGCGCACACCTAAATGGAATGGACGTAAGCAAGCACTCGAAGAATAATAATGTCCTTGTGGTGGTCACTGCCTGCTGTGTCCTGTTCCATGGCTCCCTTTATTAGGGAATCATCTAAGTATGGAAAAATGGTTACAGCCATTTTTCTGAGTTGTGCCACTGCTACAGCCAGGACCTTTGAGAAGCTCTTGGTGCTGCTGAGAGACCAAATCGTAGCACTTGGTATTGAAAGTACCTGTCTCCTACAGCGAATCTCAAGAATCATCTGTGTGATGGCTGTATTGTGATGTGAAAGTACGCATCTCTAAGATCAAGGGTGGATTGCCAGTCCCCTTTTTCCAAAGCTGGGATTGTTAGTGGTGTTACATTATAAACAAATCAATATTGTAATTGTTTTAAGTAGGATGTGGGTAAGGTGCACACTTAAAGGAGTGGTTGCTGCCATCAGTAACTGAAAACAAAAATGGAGTTTCTGGACAGGATAGCTGAACTTTTCCTGCCTTGAGTGTCTGCACTCAGTACCAAAATTGCACCAGGCATGCAGATCCTTTGCACCCAGCCTGAAATTTGTGCACACCACCCTACACAAGTTTACAGTTTACCTGCCAAAGGTTCTAAAAAAAAAAAACCACTGCACCCCAAGGGTAGGGGTGGTCAGTGTTCCGGTCTGCGTCTGTGAGGACAGCACAGCGCCACAGAGGGAAAAGGCATAGGGAACATTCACAACTGCGGTGGGTTCCCACACCATGCTGTGGTGAAGGCTCAGCACTGGTGATCTGGGATACACCAAGCAGAGGTGTTTTATCTCTGCCTGCCTCGGACCATAACATTGTCATCATCCCTGAAACACTCCGTTGTGGTGAAGGCCCAACGAGAATCACACCAGAACTGCGAGGGATCACTTGCGGTTCCTCCCTAAGGGCTAACCTGAGCCCAAAAGTAGAAGGTCACAAGTACCAGTACCACCACTGGCGATACAAATACCTTACCTGTATTGGGGATCTTTCTGTCTTTCTTCTCTTCTGTTTTGGGGAGGGGGTTGGATTTGTTGGTTGTTGTTTTTGTTCATGCACTTGTCAATTTAAATTCTTGCAATATATTAGTGAACTTTAATCTGGACTCCAAGCGTGGGTTTTTTGGGGAGAAATCACCGGTGATCAGATACGGTGTCAGGGGCCTCCCTTCTGGTAACCAGAGCATTTAACATCAATCAATCAGATCCCTTATCCTAAATTCTAAATTAATTCAAAAGATTATGCTTGTTACTGAGACTCTGGGCTAACGGGATGACTGTGGCTAAGGTTGTCATTTTGAATCGTTGATAGCAAACAAATTGGTTCAATTTTCGGAGCTCTAATATTGGTCTCCATTCCTATGACTTCTTGGCGGCCAAGCAGTAATGGGAGTAGAACCCCTTTCCCCGTGTTCTTTTGGGACCTCTTCTACGGCCCCCAGTTGTAGGAGGTGTTGTGCTTCTTGGGCAAACACCATCTCGAGAGGGGTCCCTGAAGAGGGAGGGGAAGGATGGTTGGTGATGTGGTGCAGAAGTAAAAGGGATGCAGTAACCTGTCCTGATTATCTCCAATACCCGTTTGTCTATGATGATGTTCTGCCACTCTGGATACAATGCAGCTAGTCTGCTGTCAAATGGTGTATAGTGTTCATAATACTGCCTTGGAAAACCAAGAGCTGTCCAACCGTCAACCAAACTTTCAAAATGCTTGATGGGCTGTTGATGTTTGCTGCACGGTTGCCTGGTCGGAGGTCTGCCTGCACCTACCCTCTCTGAGCTTTTGTCTATTGTCAAAGTCTCGGTTGCTCGTTATACTGGGCTGGTCTATACCACTGTGTAAATGATCTTCCTTGCTTCTTTTTATTTGCAGGTACTTGTATGCCTAATGTTCTCAGCATGGCCCTCGAGTCCTTAAGTGTGTGGAGAGAAGTGTTGGTGGACTCTATGAACAACTTTGTTCCCTCTAACAGAAGGTCTTCCACTGTGGACTGGACATCTTTTGGGAAGCCTGACAGTTGTAACCATGATGATCTTCTCATAACTACAGCCACTAAGGCAGTTGCACCTTGCAGCAGTGTCTGTTGCGTCCAGTGCTGTCTATAGGGCTGTTCTAGCAGTTAATGCCCCCTCTTTCATGGTGGCCCTGTATTGCTCCTTTTTGTTGTCAGGAATCTCTTTAATAAAGGTTGACAGTTGATCAAATATATGGTGTGTATATTAGCGAGAAGCGCCACATAATTCACAATCCTGATCTGGAGACTTGCAGACGAGTAGGTCTTTCTGCCAAGTGGGTCCAGATGCTTGCATTTTTTGTCCTGTGTGGGCATGTGGTTAGTCTGTTGCTTGGCCCTTTGATTAGCTGCCTTTACCACTAAGGAGTTTGGTGGAGGGTGCGAGAATAAAAATTCTGCGTTTTTTGGAGCTACACAGTATTTTCGATCAGCTCGTTTCCGGTCAGTGTGATCGTTGCTGAAGTCTGCCACAGAGCCTTGGCTGGGTCCATTAGTGCTTCATTCATAGGGATGGCCAGCCTGTTCTGTGACGTAGTATGGAGGATGTTTTAAGTTTGTGCTGGATCTCGGGCATATCTTCGAGTGGAACGTCCAGCGCAACTGTAACCTTTCTCAAGAGCTCTTGGAAAGACCTGAAATCATTTCCCATGCCGTTTGGTGGGGACAGGATTGTGTCTTTAGTTGTTGAGGAAGTTAGATGCTCATTAATATTGAGTCTAATGTTGTTTCCACCCCTGTGATGTCCATTTCCCCTTCCTTCTCTGATGAGGTAGATTGTTCAGGGGTGGTTTTAGGGGGCTCTTGCGTCTGGTCCCCTTGTGGCATCTGGCATTGTAGGATTCTGTAGGCTGCCCACGGGTCCCAGTAAGGCCAGTTTGGTGCTATGTGGGGTGGAAACCACTATGTTTGCTGCCACTGCTGGCCCTGGCATGGGTTTGGGGACAATGAGGCTGTTGTACAGCAAGCCTGCTTTGTCCCCTTCCTCACTTAATAGTGAGTGCATTGACTGCGATGCTGGTGAGAATCTTAGCCTGGAGGAACTTCAATTGCCCCAGAGACAAATATTGGCATTCCCAGTACCAATGTCACTGCCAGGTAAACTGTGGCAGTAAACTGAGGCAGATATGGTGAGGGGAGAATTAAGTTGCTCTGTGTTATAAATGGAACCTGTGCCTGTATCGGTATTGTGGCCAGTGCCCTATGGCTCTTGCCTCCTTTAGCTCTATTATGCAGTACGGAACTTCAATTGCCCCAGAGACAAATATTGGCATTCCCAGTACCAATGTCACTGCCAGGTAAACTGTGGCAGTAAACTGAGGCAGATATGGTGAGGGGAGAATTAAGTTGCTCTGTGTTATAAATGGAACCTGTGCCTGTATCGGTATTGTGGCCAGTGCCCTATGGCTCTTGCCTCCTTTAGCTCTATTATGCAGTACCGGCATTTTTAGCTTCCCGGCTGCCGGCACCATTCCTGAGTATGTCAGCGCCCCCTTGCGTGCTTTAAGAGGCACTGTGGTTATAGCAGCTATTGCTGCAGTCATTGTTACCCACGGCATGGCCATTAAGGGTGGTTATGTAGGCACCAGCTTGGAGCTCTTCTGCTTGTGCTCCATGGATGCTTTGAGGAGCGCGGGGGGAGGAGGTGCGAAGATCATGCCTTCTCACTCAGGTCCTGGCTTTTTTGAGTGCCGGTTCCCTTCCCCCTCCTGCTTGTCCTTCGTCTTAGAGTTGATAGGCGCAGAGCCACGCTTGCTGTGCTTCCTTGGTGGGGATTTTGATACCACCAAGGAGTGGGACCTCTTTCTGGGTGTTTGAGCCCTGTCCTGGTCCCTGGGGCTTATGGGGTAGTATAGACCCCTATCTTGGGAACTCCCAGGAGATCTCCTTGGGGGTGATGCCCTCTCAGTTTTGGTCTGGAGTCTGACTCCATTTACATCAATTTTAACTGCAGCTGTCTGGATTTACAGGCTCTGTTTGTCAATTTCAGGCAGTGCTTACACTGCTGCATATCATGACTCTGTCCTAGGTTGCGGACACAGTGTGAGTGTCCGTCAGCAAGAGATATAGATAGCCTAACATCATTTCCAAACTTTTTAAAACCGAAGGCACCAAGTATGTCCTGGTAAATGTCTTTGGTAAGCCGGTCTCTTGTGAGGGGCTGATTGTGTATCAGCTCTTAAGCCATGGCTTCTGTGAAACCTTTTTTCCCCCCCCCCCTCCAAAGAAAAGATAGAGAAAGCTAATCTAACTTATTTACAATTTAACCTAACTACAAACTTCTAACAGGAATTTAAGGCTGAGGTGAATGAGGGCAACTGCTCTTCTGTGACCAAAGCCAGCGGCGGTCAGTAAAGAACTGAGGCGGTGGTCGGCTGTGCGCACAAGGTGAACATTCCAACTGTCACATGCCAGCACTCCACACGCACTGCCAACCACAGGGCACTGCTATTAGAAGTCTGCCGACTATGTGCGCAGCAGCGCTGGCACACCTAAGGTGCAGCACCCACAGGGACACTCCTCGAAGAAGAAACAAATTATGCCAATAATTTTGTTTTGTACTGTACCAGTGCAGAGCCCCAGTTCTGTACTGTGATCTGTTTGAGCAGACTACTGTGCTCACAGAGAGCCCCTCTGAAATCAGTAGGAATCTGTAAGTAGGGCCTATTGACCTCAAAGGGACTCTGTATGGGAACAGCTGTCTGTGCAAACAGGTCACAATACAGGATCGAAGCCTAACTTAGCAAATATGCCTAATATATCCCAATAACATCATTTCCAAAACTTATTTTTACTATAAAATTCAGAGTCATTTGAACTGGTGATACCTATGTTATAATAATTTATGGGGAAAAAATTAATAACCAAAAGAAATGGCTTAGCCAACCACGTAGCTAGTCAGTCCTCACTATTTTATCAGACAACTGGAAAATGTAACATCTATCACACTGTTCAAGCTGTCATGTTGTGACTGTCAATAGATTACAAAAGAAAAAACAGTTAATAAGACTCAAATACAGAGTAATAGCTCTTTCTAGTTCACTGAATAGAGATATCAAAGTAGATCTTCATAGAATTGAATGCAATACGTATGGAGATATTTTTCTCCATAAGAATGTATTACAAAGTAATTTGTTTATTGATATAGGATAGAGATTGGCTTGCATTATCTGACTCAGAACTCACTTCATAAATTGTCTCTTTAGTTCATAACATGACATTTTTAGTTCATACCATGTAAAATGCTGTCCTAAGTATAACAGATGCACATTTCTTTAATAAAAAAGTGTAAAAGAAGTCAGCAATACCACAATACTGGGAAATACATAAGAACAAAAACACCAAACACCAAACACCAAACACATGGCCAAGAAAAATACATTTTCCTAACGTAGGCAGGGCCAACATAGTGACACATTACCATGTTCATAACGTGATCACTGGATGCTCTCAGCCAAGTACAGAGCACATTTAATTCTGTATTCCATATATATACAGCTGAGTTACCTGCTGAGGAAGGAGACCAGAGGGAAGTGGGGGTGGGAGGAGGGGATTTGGGAGGGAGTGCAAGGAACTATGGCAGTGGGGCAGAAAAGTGTGTGCAGTGCATAATTGGCAGTCTTTGGATGTGGAACCAGCTAGATTTTGGGGCACAGTCCCTGGATGGGGGGGGGGTGAATGCAGGGGGATACAATGCCATGCCCCCCCGAGTAAATAAATTCATTTTAATAGTTAATACTTTGACGTATTAAGCTAATTTAAAATGCTCTTGGTAGACATTTGCCAGTGCTTAAATTAAAAGAGCTCTGCAAACCCACAGATATCTACTTTATCCACTGACGCGGATATCCGCACCTCATTTTTTTTATCTGGAACCTTGCAAATTTACAGCTATCTGTGCATGGATCATTTTTGTAGATATAGACACCAATATTGTAATCACACAGGACTCTAAAAGTGAAAGGTACCATATCAATTTGAATCATATTACTCTCATAATAAATACAAAACCATTTTTACATGTACAGTTGTGATAATATGTATTACATATTTATTTAGCATGGATGTGGCTCATATAACAGGTACGGCGAACAACAATAACTAGGTTGAGAATCACTATTCTGAAACAGAGGACACAACAGTTACATGTCTAATCAAAATTTCTCTAGAGGATCCATGTAATATTGAATATAATCTTGATCTCTCCCTAGTTTGTGGCTAGAAAGGTTAGCCTTACTATCCTAGTGTTACCAACCCTAACACACTAATTCTTAAGCCCTCCATTGGTTGCTCCAAGCAAACAGACTGTAAGCTCTTATGATCCAGAGATCCTGGTTCAATTTCTGCATATAATGAGCCATGCAGGAGTGTTATTTGACAGATCAAAGCATATTATTTTCATTCTCTATATTCAACAATTTAAAAGGTATCATATTGACATTGGTCAATCACATCTTTTTCTTGATGTGACAATCTAAGGAACACTTTTTAAAAAAAAAAATATTGGACAGAAGATGTAATCTGAGTTTATTGTGATTTACCCAGCATTTAATTTCCAGGTAATATTTCAGTTTTTAAAATATGAGATTTAATACATACCACTTTTTCTTGCACCAACAGCAGAAATTATGACTGGAATTGAATAATGATTTAATGCTCTTTTTATCATTGGAACATAACTGTCCTTTACTTCTTGAAATGATGATTTGTCATTTACAGAGTATTTAATCACAATGATATCCGCTCCTCCAATAAGATTTTGAGAGGTGTACCAGTCACTGTCAAAAATATCCTTAATGGGGAAAAAAATGCATCAAGAATATTTTCAATTACTTATAGGCAAGGGAAAGATCATCTATACAAATACTCTTGCACACAAAAAATTATGTTTTAAACTGACAATTTTATCTAGCTAATGAGATGCAAGAAGAGAAATGTAGGTTTGTGCTTTACAATTTCTCTGTATAATTTTCTTGTCTGGGAAACATAATAAATTTATGAATGCCTGGAATTCTAAGAAAGAGCAGCAATTGAAACTCCCAGTATTTTTTATAAGCACAGAATCCAAAAATATACTTCGTTTTTAAATCATTTCACTTCAAAACTAATTACTGGGGAAATAAAGCAGTGCCATCTGCTTCAACTGTAGAAGGCTGCGGCAATTTTTGTGATATTAAGTACTGTAGGATCT